CGGGTGGTACTGCTGCCAGCAGTTTCTGAAAATCGCTCGGCTGCTCTGCTTCTTCCACCACTGCGATATCCACCGCGTACACGTCAGCTCCAGCGGCGACAGCCCGTTTCATTGTGATGGCGTTGACGTGGACCGTTGAAGATTCAAGCGACTCCCAGCGAGGTAGTTCAACCCAGTTACCGCTTCTTCGCACAGTGCAGCTACCCGTCGTCCAGTCGATTCGCGGGTTGTACCGTCGCAGCCAATCACGTTCCAGTAAAATGTCGTGCCCATCCAATGTCGTCGCGAGCATTTCCTGTGTAAACCCAAAGTTCCCCCCATAGCGGACTTTTACTCTTTCCACCTTATCCCGTATGGCCAGCGGCGTTCCGTCAACTAAGCGTGCGTCTATCTCCCGTAAACACCGACTAAGTGCCAGTTGCACCTTCTGTGTAGTCGCGGTATTAACAAAGCTGTGACTTGCGCCTCCGTCTATAAAAATCTTCACTGCTGCTCCCTGTATTTTCCCATGGATCAGTACTGGGCAATCCGTTGTTGTACCCTCCTTATTCATCCGAGCCCGATCGATAGCGGGAATCGGTACTGTGACTCGGTGAGGGTCGGTGAGGTTGGGCAAGCAGGTAGTCTCATCAGTAGTTGGCCCAAATTCTACTGAGTGCAGGCGTTTCCCCGCCTCTGAGACTCCCTCCCCTGCTCTGTTCCGCGGCGCCTCAGCTCCTCTGGGCATTCGCTCTTGCGATGGCGCGGCCGATTGCAAGCAAAGCAGCGCCCCTTAAATGGTGCGGCAGCTGCATTCGTCGCAACGGCACGTACGGTGGCGTGCTCGATCGGTCCCCGAGGACGATGTCCGTAGTAGGACCCTGGTCTCAGACAGCGCAAAATGTCGATTTTCTCGGCGAGCGCAAGGATCTCGTTAAAATTCGAGAGCTTGCGTAGCATGATTTCGTGCGAGATGTCCGGCTTTAGCCCTCCAACGTTCCGGCCCACCCGTTCCGCTTCATGCATGTAGCCGACGTGCTCGCATAATGCGAGAAAACCGCTCGTGTAGTCTTGGACTGATCCGAGTTGCCGCCAAGTACGCAATTTCTGACGCGCTGAAATAGAAGCCGCGATCGGCTCGAAGCGCGCCCGAAGCCCTGCGCAAAATGAACTCCAGGTGACGGCTCGGCCTGTGGGCCCTTCCTCTTGCGACGGTGGCTCGTAGGCGCGTGGCGATGTCACGATGACTCGCCACCAGTCCATGGCGGGGCCCCTCAGCAGCGAAATGGCGTAGGGAATCTTCGCTGCGTCCGACTCGACGTAATTCGCGTAAAAAAAAACGTTCATCGTGAAGACCCTCGATTGAACCGTCGGACCTCCACGTTGGCTTGGATCGAAACAGGGCGGGCGCTGCGGCTTGAGTGGCATTGGTGCCATGATGTCGTGATTGCCGCTTGTTGCTGCAAACTCCACGTGCCGACGAGCTTCGCGAGGCTCACGTGGGCTTGGTGCGGCCCTATTTATCTCCATGCCAGGCATTGAGTGAGTAGCGCCATCACTGGCTACGCATGAGTGTTGTCCCACGCTGTCGTTCTGTGTCGTGTTAAAGTTTAGAAGAAAGAAGAGGAGAAGGGAGGATTGCACTAGCAAGAATGAGGATACAAATAGCAAACCCTAGAAGGGTTGTACTCGCTATAGAGCACCCCACTACAGGCTAGAGCATAAGATAACATTCTGACACACCCCCATAGCCAAAGTGGGGTGTAATCAGCAGAGTAAGCAAAGGAGTACAAGCTCAAGGTGGATCACAATGTCACCACACATTCTGAGCACAAGTTCAAGAAGCAATAGTTTAAGTTCACAATTATGAGCAAAGCTAGTGGTAGTCACAACGGGCAAGTGAGGAGGAGGAGAGAGAGTGAGAGGAGAGGAGATAGGAGGCGACGGCTGAAGCTGCAGACACACAGGCAACAGGAGGCAGACTGGCACAGCGGCTACCGGACGAAGTCCCCGGAATACAGGAGTAACAGGCCCCGCGGCTAAAGTAGCGGCAGACGAGCAACGGACCCACGGGCGGCTGGCACAGCTGGCTACGACTGGGCTACCGGACGAAGTCCCCGGAATACAGGTGCTGCTGGCGACACGACGGCAACCTCCATTCAGCTTCCCCAAACTATCCCACTGCCCACTGGCACATACCCGCTGCTACACCGCTAGCTCCACGCCCCCTTCACCCCCCCTTAGTACCACTCCACCGGCTCCAACACGTCCACCCCCCCTCAGCGGCAGCTGCAGCACAGGGAGACGGAGGAGGAGGAGGAGCAGGGAACAGTACACAGTGGGTGCACCCCCATACCCCGCACCCCCAAACCCTAATACAGGAGAATGGGGAGTAGGAGGGGTGGGGCACGAGTAGAAGCGCTGGGGGACAGTAGGGAGGGCAGGGGCAGCAAGGAGCGGGCCCACCACGGGCCTGGTAGGGTCGCCCGAACCGCGCGTAGGCGGCCTGAGCCGCGCGCGGGCCTGGCGCTGCCCGTACGGGCCGCGCGCGGGCCTGGCGCAGCCCGTACGGGTGGCGCGCGGGCCTGGCGCAGCCCGTACGGGTCGCGCGCGGGCCTGGCGCAGCCCGTACGGGTCGCGCGCTGGCCTGGCGCAGCCCGTACGGGTCGCGCGCTGCCTGTACGGGCCGCGCGCAGGCCACGACGGGCGACGGGGGGCGACGAACGGGTCCCCGTCGCCCGTCGCGGCGCCTCCCGAGGGCGACGCGACGGTTGACGGGGCCGAAGCCCGCCGCGCGCCTCGGGGCGCACAGCGGGCAGAGAACCGCCGCGCGCCTCGGGGCGCACGGCGGGCAGAAAACCGCCGCGCGCCTCGGGGCACACGGCGGGAAGAAAACCGCCGCGCGCCTCGGGGCGCACGGCGGGAAGAAAACTGCCACACGCCACGGGGCGTGCGGCACCGAGTGTAGTGGTAGGAGTTGCAGCGGAAGCTAGGAGGTGGTAAGCCCACCCACAGGATCGATCCAAGGGGATCGACCTGCTCTGATAGCATGTTGAAGTTTAGAAGAAAGAAGAGGAGAAGGGAGGATTGCACTAGCAAGAATGAGGATACAAATAGCAAACCCTAGAAGGGTTGTACTCGCTATAGAGCACCCCACTACAGGCTAGAGCATAAGATAACATTCTGACATGTCGGTGTGCCTGATGAGATGACGATCGGCTCCTCTGATTGCGCAGGTGCATTTGTTGGTGCTGGTGCATTCATCGTCGATTGCTGACAAGCGGAGTCACGTTCCGCCGTGAGTGTAGCGATTTCGAGGGCCGAATCTTCGAGTTGGCGCACGAGACGGTCGAGCTGCGCTTGCGTCAGTGTCGCGAGATTAAGTTCAGCCATGGCGGGGTTGTTAGGCAAGCTCAGCGAGAGCCTTTGTCATGGCCGTGCGTGCTTACAAGACAGCACTTCGAGCGGCGGTGCTTGTTCGCTAAGAGACGTCTACCCCCCCCAAAATTTGAGATAGTGGGGAAGCGAAGGTGTGGGTGCGGTCCGAGAGGAGATCGTAGGCTCTGAATACCAAGTGTTACGAGAGCAATTGAGTGAGCAAGCGAGGATTGCACTATCGAGGCAAGAATACCATGAGCGAAGGAATGAGCGAAGAATATATAGCGAAAATATAGTGGTAACGGTAATGTGTGGTGGTGATGGTATGACGAACCTGGAGGAGGGAGGCCGTGCAGTGTATGGCTCAGAGGAAAAATATGAAGGGGAAGTGGGGATGGGGGAGGAGGATGAGGGGAGCAAAGGGGAAGAAGGTCAGGAGAGCGATGGCGAGGGGTTATGAATGGGAGGAGGGAGAGGAGCGAAGGCAATGGGAGTGAGGGGTAGGGAGTGGGGTAATGGGGGGAGAGGGTGGAGTGAGATGGAGACGAGGCGAGGAGGACGAAGAAGGCAAGGATGGGGAGGTGAGAGAGGCGGATGGGGAGGAAATGGAATCGAAGGATTTGGAGAATATATAGGAAGTACCGTAATCACCCGGACATAACACCCTAGGGTCTTACTTTAAATACAGCAAAAAAATGGGGGGGGGCTTCTCATAGGAAAAAGCTACATACCACCCGGGTGCATATATATGACATTTTTTTAGTGTAAGGGTTCCTATACATAGGCAGCTTGGGTGTTTTCAAGGTTGGTTTAGCATCACAGTTGGAAGCGAGATTGTCAGTTTCGACGACAACATTGACTCCTCCTTGAAGTTGCGAGGTGGCACCTCTTTGGCCACTTGATAGCGAAAGAACTACCAGCGTGGCAACAGTGAAAAAGTGGGACGGAGGTGACCCCAGCAGATACTTTCGAAATTACCATGTAATTTCGTGCAAAAAGTGATCGTCGCGATGTCCCCCCGTCATTGCACATACTCGTTAACACCTAAAATAAGGCATTCTGTGTAAAAAAGGGGGTGTTATAAAAAATCGCCCCAAAAGGGGGGGTATAGTACAAACGGGGTCAACTATAACACCCACCCCGCACAAGCCACCCGGGGGGTCTACAATTTCGGCGGGTGGTATGTCCGGGTGATTACGGTATGTGAGGTGGCTAGATTTTAGTATCATTAACACCATGTGACTGTAATGAAGCGGTGCTGCTGCTCTGTTGGCAGAGCACACCCTGCATTTAGGCTTTAGACCATGGTTAGTTAGGGTTGCAAATACTACCGTACCTAGAAACGTGTAATTCGTTTTATGTGTAGAAATTACATCTGGGGTTAAGTTCGGAAAATCAACGACTTCAATTAATCGTGCAAGGGCAAGTTGCCACTACCACCAGTAACTTGTATAGAAGGGTCCCTTGCTTGCTTGGCATGGCATCTCCTACATGGTGGCAGCAAATACAGTCACATCACTACACTGGCAACCCTACATACAGTCACACACCCGCTGCGCAGCCTCCCAAGCAGTCACACACCACTGCACCCACTGCTTCATTGCACCCCATCTACAGTCACACACTGCTGCACCCACTTACACTCACACACCGCTGCGCAGCCTCCCCAGAGCGTCAGCATGCAGGGGGCTCTCAGGCACACACTTATCGGGCAGGAAGGCAGCGGTGGGGTGGAGAGAGTAGAAAGCAGCTGAGGCAGAGAAGCCCGACTGGGAGAGCACGTGGGCGCTGCTCCCCGCCAGCACCAGCCAATCCGCCACTATGTCCAGAAATGCCTCCCTGCCCTCTGCCTCGCCACCTCCTGCTGATGGTTTGACTGCTGCCCCTGCTGCCCCTGCTGCTGCTACTGTTGTCTCATTCTCAGCCAGCTTTCTCCCTGCTGACACTGATGCACTCCCGCCTGAGTGCCTGTTTCCAATCAACAGTCCAGATTCTCCACCGCGGATGCTGCGTCCGGGCAACGTACGGACGGATGTAGACGGTGATTCTGCTGGCAACTCTCTGAGCTTCCTGCCTGTAACGGTATCAGGTTGGCTTGTATGGAGCAGGTTGGAGTGACGTGGTATGATGCTGGATGTTACCACCTGGAGGGTAGAGAGGAGGAGAGCCAAGAAGAGGGAGCATAGAGGAAGTGGGACAAGGATACCATTTAATGCAGGTTGGAGTGACGTGGTATCATGCTGGATGTTACCACCTGGAGGGAGAAAAAGAGAGCGAGAGAGCAGGGGGAGAGTGGCGGGGGGGGAAGGGGGAGGGAGGGGGGGAGGGGAGGGGGGGGGGGGGGGGAGGGGCAACTACCATGAAGCAAGGAAGAGAGTGAGGTCATTCTTGCTTCTTGCAAGCAAAAACACTTCAACGTAGAGTAGAGGCACAAGGAGAGTGGAGGGGGGGAGGGATGTTGAAGGCAATGGAATACAGGGTACTCGCAGTAGAAAGGCTGATGGTACGTATCTCCCCACCTTGTGGGGGTATTTTCCCTTGAGCGCCAACTTAAGCCGGGCGGAGTTGGTGACGAGCAACCATCGCACGGAGAGGGAGGGTGGCAGCCAGAAGCTCTCCACTGCCTGATGGGGAGAGGCCGGGATGGATGGGGCGGGAGGGAGGGAGGGATGGGTGAACTTTTCGAGACATCTCTTGAAATCATTTTGAGAATTCTCAAAAGTCGCACCAATATGGGAGGGATGGGTGAACTTTTCGAGAAAACTTTTGAAATCATTGCACGGAGGGAGGGACAGCGGCAGCCAGAATCGCTCCACTGCCTGCCTGTCGAGGAGAGGGAGGGAGAAATGGAGATGGGGCGGGAGGAAGGCATGGGTGTGACCTTTGAGACATCTCACATAGTCGCAACGTCATCACATGGAGAGGAAGGGAGGCAGCCGAAATCGCTCCACTGCCTGACGAAGAGAGGAAGAGAGAGATGGGGCGGGAGGGAGGGATGGCCACGGGGGAAAGTTAGGGGACGCAGAGAGTGAAGGGGTTTTGAGGTGCGAGGGAGGGAGAGTTGGGGCGGGTAGGAGGGATGCGGTGGGAGGGAAGGATGGTGCAAGAGAGAGGGTTGGGAGAAGATGGAGATAGGAGTGAGAGAGGGGAGTGCGGAAGGGATGTCAGCACACATGCTGAAGAGGAATTTGCTTGTGCTGCCACCTCTCGTCCTCCTATCCCATTTTTCACCTCCCTCCTCCCCCTTCCCCCCCTCCCTTTTTCCCTTCCTCCTCCCCCGCTCCCCTTTTCCCTTCCCCCTCCCCCCTTTCCCAACCCCACCCCCTCCCCCCTCGTCCCGCTTATCGTACCTCACCGCACCTCGGCACATGCCAGCCACTTCCACACAGCTTTCAGCCATGCCGCCTGCTCCTCCGCGCCCATTGCTGCATCCGCCATAGTCACATTCGCTAAAGTCACGTTCGCCTTGGTCACATTCCCTTCTGCCGCCTCCTCCAATGTTGCAGTCCCTGTTGTGTTGTCACCCTCCCCTTGTGCTTTCTGCCGCACATGCTCCTGCCATGCCACGTCAGCATCTGGAATCCGGATGTGCAAACCGATGGTCACCAGAGGTCCGGCATCCGAACCTGCTGCCAAGCCTGCCACCAGCTGCTGCTGCACCGCCTGCACTCGCGCCCATACCTCCGGGTTTGGTCTGGAAAGCAACAGGCAGGAAGAACGGACTTAATTAACTTATGGCGGCTGGAAAGTGGTTTGGGCGGAATGCTAGAGGCAGAAAGAAAGAAGCCAAATGCAACAGCAACCAAATGTCACATCTCAGCAGCAATCCAGCTAATGCCACCTCACCACTGCGTCATCCTCTCCCCCCCAACCCAACCCCTCGTCTCACCACTTGTATCACAAGGAGAATGAAAAAAGAAAACTCTTGAAATGCATGTGGTAACTGCTAGCCCATCGACAAAACACTCGCCATTGCTTACTTAAACAGAAACCTGAGGATGCAACCGAACGCATAGGGTAACCGCAAGCCCATGTCGTATAACCGCTTAGCCCTGCCAGCCGTCCACGGCCCCGCCAGCATCCTCGTCAGCATGCCTCGATTCCACCTCACCCGCACGTTCACCGCATTCCGAGACAAGCCACCCACTTCGCTGCCCATTTTGCTGCCCGCTTTGCCCCCCCCCTTGCCGCCCAGAAAGAACCAATCAGGGTTCACGTTCCTGTTCAGCAGATCCAACAGTAGCACCTCCCCCGGTTGAACCTCCCCCTGCCACTCCTCCCACTGCCTCTTCTCCGATAGCTTATCGCGGGGGATGGCGTGGGCGGGGGAGAGGGGGATATCATGGGAGAGAGTCCAGTCCACGAGGGCGGGTTGGAAGGCCCACCGCAGGCACGCGTGGCGGATAAGGAAGGCGCGATCGTCCAATAGCGCGACGGCGAATGACGTGGCGAGGCCCACGAGTGAGTCACCGAGGCCCCCGCATTGGTCAAGCCAATCGTAGGTTAGGAAACGGAGGGGAGGGGGGCCGGTGGGGGAAGTAGAGGAGGAGTTGGTGGAGGGTGGTGGGGACGGCAGCGGTGCTGCTGCTGCCGCTGCCGTTCCTCCTCCTGCCCCACTTCCTCCTGTCTCTCCTGCTTCTCTTGCAGCCGCAGCAGCTGCATCTACAGCAGCTTGTGGAGCAGCAGTAACAGAAGCGGCAGTGGTGGCAGCGTGCTGAGCAGCACTGGCAGCGCGGATGCGCGAGTGCAGGGCGGCATAATCGGAGTGCCAGGTGCCGCAGAGGTGCGCGGGGAAGGCGGGGTCCAGCAGGGGGAGAAGAGCGGTGGGGGGGATGGACGCCGCGCACTGCTGTAGGGAGGGGGGGAAAGAAGGGGGAGAGAGAGGAGACAGGGCCATGGGCGGAATGCATGGAAGAGGGAGCGACTGCACAGCATAATTGTGCTCTTCTGACTGCACGGCATAATTGTGCTCTTCTGACTGCACGACATAATTGTGCTCTTCTGACTGCACGACATAATTGTGCTCTTCTGACTGCACGGCATAATTGTGCTCTTCTGACTGCACGGCATAATTGTGCTCTTCTGACTGCACGGCATAATTGTGCTCTTCTGACTGCACAGCATAATTGTGCTCTTCTGACTGCACGGCATAATTGTGCTCTTCTGACTGCACAGCATAATTGTGCTCTTCTGACTGCACGGCATAATTGTGCTCTTCTGACTGCACGGCATAATTGTGCTCTTCTGACTGCACGGCATAATTGTGCTCTTCTGACTGCATGGCATAATTGTGCTCTTCTGACTGCACGGCATAATTGTGCTCTTCTGACTGCACGGCATAATTGTGCTCTTCTGACTGCTCGCTGAACGGGCAAGCTAAGCTCTCAGTGTGGTGGTACCGCACGCCGCCCAGCACGGTTTTGACGCCGCGGCAACTCACGCCGCCACGCCAGGAATAATTCTATGATCGCCATGGCAGCGCCTAGAACTGCTGGAGATTAAAGAGCTTTTGACACGGCTTTTGAGTCAACAGCACATAGAGTCACTCGTTCACGGCTTTTGACAACAGACTCGCGCGTCTCACGACTCGCGAACAGCACATAACAACACTCGTCCGCCGCACCTGGTGGTTCATCCCCATCAGCAACAGCATCGCGACGCCGAGGAGCCATCGCCGCCGTGAATGTCGCCGCGAATGCCGCCAGGCACCGCATCGCGCTCGCAGCAGCACCAGCCGCATCGCATTCCGACGAATCGCAGGCGCGTTATGGCGGAGGCACGGGTGGCGTCTGGATGGTCACTCCGCCGCCTGCTCGAAAGAGCGGCTCGTCATGGATTAGACGTCATGAGTTGCCAGACAACGGTCGGGAAGAGATGCACTGTCTGGGACGACTTGCTCGCAAGACGACCGGTTAGAGATTGAAAGTAGGGATAGAAAGCATAGAAGGTCGTAGCGAATGGCTCGCTCGCGAGAGTGGAGTGGATTGAAAAGGCGAAAGGAGCGTGAAATGCGGGGAGTGGAGTGGATGGGAGATGGTGAATGGGAGTTTGTACCCGCTGCTGAGAAGTCCGGTACAGGTTATCTCAGATCAAATGTCCGTAGATGGCGAAAAGTGGATTTGTTTTTTTGTTAGGTTGAGTAGCAACGTTTTTTTATTTGTAGCACCTTTTTTGTGGAACTCATGTGAACAGTGCATTTTCTTTGTCATTTTGCCAAAGTCTGAAGAACTCGTTTTGAGAACGAGTGCTTCAAATTTGTGAGGATGACGAATAAACTGATAACACACGAGTCTCTAAAAAAAAGGTGAAACCAAATGGGGCTTATCATTCCATCGTCGATAAATACGACGAATGGAATAATTGGCCGTCACATTTTGGCACCCAACACAATTGACGAGAGAACACCCACTTGTAAATACAAATAATGTGCATCTATCGAACATATGCAAAACGAACACGTATTATGAGTGAATGCTAAAATATATTGGTCCTACATTGTAGATGGTTCTGGTACCGTAATACCCCGGATAGTAGCGCAAATGCGCTTATAATAAATTCATTTTTTTTAGGGGGGGCGCTTGTAATTGAGTAACGACCATAAGCGCCGGCGCTTTTATAAAGGTAAAACTCAATTTCACTGTAAAGGATATCATCCTGAAGCCCTCAATAAGGCGAATACAACACTGTATCATGTGCGCGGGGTCGTGCATGGAATGACGGCGAAACTTGCCGCACAAAACCTCTCCCGGTGCAACGCACCTGCCAGCGCTGATGCAAACCTGACGTGCGGCCCAATCAGGTTGGCATGCGCTGCCATGCAGGAGCATCTCGGCAGAACCATCCAGAACGTGATGGAATCTGCCGTGCCAGCGCAACATGGATGGTGCCCCCAACCCCCCTCTGCAGGTTGAGGCAGGGGTGTACTCGTCTCTCATCGACGAGGACCCCGAGCCGCAAACCAGAAGGGGTCCCCTTCAATCTCTCATTTCAAGACCCAGGGTTGCAGTTTTTGATTCATTCTTCTTTTCCTCGCCCGCCTGGCTGCGGAAGCCATGGCGGAATTCACAGGCACTCATTTTCTCTTCAAGAAAAAACCTTCCAGTAGGCCCGCGTGCCGTGTTACAGCTGACGGGTGGTATAGCCGCATACCTCCAGACCCTCCAGAGCCACCACACCCTCCTGTGCCTCCTGCGCCACCTACTACTCCGGCTCCTCTAGTGCCTCCGACTCCCCCTGCTCCTCCTGTTCCTCCGTCTCCTCCAGGTCCGGTGGCCCCTCACATCGACAACCAACTCGTGCTCACGCTCCTGCTCCCATCGGCGTTCGACGAGTATCTGTCGGAATTGGATTATGACAAGGGCCCTGATGTTGACGTACCCGCTCCAGCGCCAGCACCACGTTGGGGCCAGCCAAAAGATTTCACGTGGGACGTGTCAAACATATATGCTTAGTTGTATCTAGGCTTAGTTTATGTGTTTACAGTTGTCTAGGCTATAGTGGGTTTAGCCTTAGGGGGTACACAATTTCTCTCGACATTGTACTTGTACCCCTCCCCCTTTCCTAGTCCATCATCCTCGTCATTCTCGCTAGTATTCTAACATGGTATTAGAGTAGGCTATTCTTGGGCCCACCACCTAATATCTCGTTCCTAGCCCCGCGCCCCGCCCGTTCGTCAAAGGTGACGTCCTGAGAGGGGAAGACACGGCGCGAGGTGGGGTGGTAAAACTGCCAACCAGGCGCGTCGGGGACAAAGCCAAGGAAGACACAGGGCACAGCGCGGGCGGAGAGCTTGTCCGCAGTGGTATCGCGGACAAAGGCACGAGCACCCCAGACGAGGAAACGCGACGCATCGCCAACCTGCCCCGTCCACAGTAGTGTGGGCGAGGTCTCTGGAGCAGAGACACGGGGCCAGAGGTTGAGCTGATGCGCAGCGTACTGGACTGCAAACGACCACAGGAAATGGGGGGCAGCCGCATGGATCAAGGAGGTACGAGCGGCCCCTCGGCCCGTGCCTTCTCACGCCCGTGCCCGGCCCGTCCCTAGCCCGCGATCGCCACGTCGACACCCGCGCCCAGCCCCGTACCTAGCCCGCGCCCCGTCGACGCCCGAGACCGGCCCGTACCTAGCCTCGCGCTCGGCCCCGTTCCTAGCCCCGCGCCCGGCCCGTACCTAGCCTCGCGACCGTCCCGTACCCTGCCCACGCCCGGCCCCGTCTCTCGCCCGCGCTCGGCTCGTACCTAGCCCCGCGCCCGGCCCGTACCTAGCCCAGCGCACGGCCCCGACCCTAGCCAGCACCCGGCCCCGTACCCTAGCCCGCGCCCGGCCCCTTCTGTCGCCAGCGCCTGGCCCCATACTTAGCCCGCGCCCCGGCCCCGTACCTGCCCAGCGCGCGGCCCCGTACCTGCCCAGCGCCCGGCCCCGTACCTGCCCAGCGCCCGGCCCCGTTCCTGCCAGCGCCCGGCCCCGTACCTTACGCCCGCGCCCGGCTCAGTCCCTCGCCCAGCGCCCGGCCCCGCACCTAGCCCCGGCCCGACAACACCTGCGCCCGGCCCCTTGTTTGGCCCCGCGGCCCCTAGGCCCCTCGGCCCCTAGGAAGAAAATCAGTGGTGGGCCCTTAGGAAGAATTGAACTAGCTCTATACCATGTGAGAATTGAGGAATGAATGAACTAAAAAAGAGATGGGTACAAATAGAGAACACATAAGTGTTGTACCCTCTAGGAACTACCCCACTACAGCCTAAACAGACTATAGCATATATAAGTTTGACATGAATGAACTATGAAAGAGTTGGGTACAAGTACTAACCCTAATTGGGTTGTACCCCTTATGGGCTACCCCACTATAGCCTACACAAATGTAAGCACTACAACATTTTGACAAAAGCGACCCCCTTTCTCAGCAAATCCGTCAGTGGTGCCGTTAACCTTGCCATTTTGGGGACGAACCGACGCACGTAATTAACGAACCCTAAAAAACTCTGCAGCTCCGTGATATTTGTGGGGGGGTGCCACGCTTTGACCATGTCCAGCTTCTTTGGGTCGATCTCAACCCCAGCCTCCGAAATTACGTGCCCCAAAAACTCTAGCTTGTCCTGAAAAAACTCGCAAGTGGAACCCTTGGTCAGTAGCCTGTGCTCGTCTAAATTTTTAAAAACCTCTTCCAGATCTGCTAAGTGCTGTTGCTTGTCGCGACTGTAGACGAGGATATCGTCAAGGTAAACTATCACGCATTTATCTAAGAGTTGCGTGAACGCCTCGTTCATGGTCATTTAGAATGTCGCCGGTGTGTTGGTCAGCCCGAAAGGCATCACTGTGTACTCAAATGATCCGTACCTAGTCCTAAATGTTGTCTTGGCACAGTCCGATGGTTCGACCCGAATCTAATGGTAACCTCCCCGTAAATCGATTTTCGAAAAGATCCGTGCTATTCGCAGTTGATCTATCAGTTCGCCGACGCGGGGAATGGGGTATCACGATTTGACTGTAACCCTGTTCAGTGCCCTGTTATCGATTTCTCATGCAAAAACCTCCGTCTTTTTTCAGTGTGAATAGTATTGGTGCGGCGAACGGTGCCGAGCTCGATCGGATGACAAGCCCTTTTATCCCAATGGTCTAGTGGTTGGGACTCTGACATGGTATCAGAGCGAAGGTCTCGGTTTCGAATCCCAGTGTGTGCACTTCGCGCATCCCAGTGCGGGGGGGTGCCAGAGGTCCACTGGTGATCTCCGATTGATCCTAGGGAAGAGTTACAGGCTCGTTGTCCGGGGGGGTTATGGGCGTACTGACCCGCTACTTAACAAGCCCTTTTATCCCAACGGTCTAGTGGTTGGGATTCTGACACGCTGAGGTGGCAGTCAGTCGTCGGGAAAAATCCCCGGGTGCTGTTTCAACAGTTCCTGTAGTTCGGGTGGTACTGCTGCCAGCAGTTTCTGAAAATCGCTCGGCTGCTCTGCTTCTTCCACCACTGCGATATCCACCGCGTACACGTCAGCTCCAGCGGCGACAGCCCGTTTCATTGTGATGGCGTTGACGTGGACCGTTGAAGATTCAAGCGACTCCCAGCGAGGTAGTTCAACCCAGTTACCGCTTCTTCGCACAGTGCAGCTACCCGTCGTCCAGTCGATTCGCGGGTTGTACCGTCGCAGCCAATCACGTTCCAGTAAAATGTCGTGCCCATCCAATGTCGTCGCGAGCATTTCCTGTGTAAACCCAAAGTTCCCCCCATAGCGGACTTTTACTCTTTCCACCTTATCCCGTATGGCCAGCGGCGTTCCGTCAACTAAGCGTGCGTCTATCTCCCGTAAACACCGACTAAGTGCCAGTTGCACCTTCTGTGTAGTCGCGGTATTAACAAAGCTGTGACTTGCGCCTCCGTCTATAAAAATCTTCACTGCTGCTCCCTGTATTTTCCCATGGATCAGTACTGGGCAATCCGTTGTTGTACCCTCCTTATTCATCCGAGCCCGATCGATAGCGGGAATCGGTACTGTGACTCGGTGAGGGTCGGTGAGGTTGGGCAAGCAGGTAGTCTCATCAGTAGTTGGCCCAAATTCTACTGAGTGCAGGCGTTTCCCCGCCTCTGAGACTCCCTCCCCTGCTCTGTTCCGCGGCGCCTCAGCTCCTCTGGGCATTCGCTCTTGCGATGGCGCGGCCGATTGCAAGCAAAGCAGCGCCCCTTAAATGGTGCGGCAGCTGCATTCGTCGCAACGGCACG